GAACCCTTGTGCCCTCCCTAAATTTTGCACCCTGTCAACACCTTTGTGTTGCACAGGTCTGAAACGAGCTCTTCTTCCACCTGCATCAAGTGTAGCAGCTGCATTTGTAGAGAGCACCTGGTCACATGCTGCAGGACCTGTTCTCCTGCTGCTAGAAATGAACAAAAAGCCATATCCTCTCTCAATCTAATTATGTGTTTCTCTCAAACACACACACACATCACATATTCGAAGCCAGGATATTTCGGTTTGAAATGTTTTTATATTTAAATGCTCTGTTGTGTTTATCTTTATTGTTAAAGTTTTCAGTGTTGTTCCAGTTTGCATAATAAATGTTTCCATTGATGAATCAGATGCTGATGTGAAATTGTTTCACACGAACATCCACACAAATCCCTCTTGAGGCTCCCTGCTGGTCACATGACTCCATAATATGATTGGCAAAAATACAAGAATTACATGCATATATAGTATATATGTATATGTGCAGTGTATACAGGTATATATTTCATTTTTAAAAATCCCTAACAATCTGCTTTCATCCTTTCACAGAAAAAGGGTGTGGGTATAAACCTAGACTAAAGTTAGGCCTGCTCACATTGGCTGTATTTACTGCACAGTTAATTTAATTTAATTTAACTTTTGCACCAAACAAATGTTGAGCCACTTTTAAGGGAGGAACTAATTTTTCCAAAGTGGACTTCCTGTTGTAGCTTATCTGGTCAAACCAGTCCCTTTCCACAGACAGACTATAAATTGGCACCAGTGTTTCTAAAACAGTAGTACAGTAATTCTAGTCTTTGTCATTTGTCAGCTCACTGATTTCACTGAGCACAATGAAGTCATCAGTGGGATTCATCATTTTGTTTCTTACATATGCAGCCTCAACAGGTATGTTACATATTCTTACTATATAGTACAACAGATATGGCACTAGCTGAATAATACCAACAAAGTTTATTCCAGTTTGAACAACCAAGTAATTGTCTGGTATGTAAAACAGATAAAGTACTGCAAAATAAGAATAATTAATCAAAATAGG